CTTTTTACGTTAATCCTATAATTCACCACCTCCTCCTTATAGATAAATAAATAAATAAAATTATTCACAAAATAACAAGGCATGGATAAAATCGATACGTACCCTCCAAACGGTAAAGATACTCCATAGGGAGGTTATGTAATTTCATCCCTCAACGTTGAAGCACGAATGTCAAAATAAAATTGTTTTATTATAAATAAAGTTGTTAAACTCACGTTTTTAAATAATTTATAATAAAAATATAATTTTAAATTATCATTTAAGAATTTATCTTTATTAAAAATAATTATTAAAAATTTATCATTAAATAATTAAAATATAAAATATAATCATAAATTTAATTTAAATATATTTAAAATATAATTATTAAAATTAGACCCATCTATAATGATAAATTATCATATACAAAATAGAAATTTTAAAATATAAAAACTTATTTTTAGTATTTTTGTTTTCTTTTTTTATTAATATTAGTTTTTGCTTATTATAAGCCAATTTTTTATAGGATATACTTAACTCACTTAAAAAAAAAAAAAAATCTACAAGCTTAACAACTTTAATTAAATTTGCATGTAATTCAAGTTTAAAATTGGTTGACATGATTTTGTCAACTAAAAATATAAAAACAATAAACTTACTAATTTAGCTAAGTTTATATTTAATTTGAGTTTTTAAGTGAATGAGCACGATTTTATAAGTGATAAATGTAAAAACATTAAATTTTAAATTGTTAACTCGAGGATTTGACAACTATAATCATAAAATTCTTATCTCACATAATAAGTTAGGATAAAATCCTCTACATTTGGCTCTTTAAAGTTGTGTAGATTTGAGATCATATTAGCTGTCGATTAAACAAATTTTATGATTGGGTCAGAAACATTTTATTGAGGGTTTTGAATGCCATATTAACTGGTAACCTGTGAAAAAGATATTCTCTAATTCTCCGTTATATATGACAATTTTAAGGCACTTGATTCTATCAACGGCTAATATTATCTTAAATTTGCAAAACTTTTACAACCAATTTTAGAAGATTTTGATCCAGTTAATTATGCATGAACCAATACTTCAGCAAAATTACCGCTTTGTCTGTATCGCATTTGCCACCTCTGCATGTAGAATAAAGAGTTTTATTTTTCTCCAAGAAAAGAGATAATATTTAAGTTTTGGAAGTGTGTCTTCTCTTCCAAAAAAAGAAAGATCACAGAGGCCCATTGACATTTGTGGCCCAAGTATTTGGGCTAACGACTTTAAATCTGTAAAATAGCAAAGCCACCTTCGGCTCCAGAAAAACTCACTCCTGCTTACGTTAAAAAAAAAAAAATAGAATACATGTGAGAAATTATTAAAAAAAAAAACAGCACACCTTCTGATTCATTCTGTTACATTCGTGATCACGTCTTGTTTGTTTGTTGTTTTTTTTTAAGTTAGGAACAAAAGCAAGAAGTTTTTAAAAAAAAAAAAAAACACCAGACCTACAATGATCACCTTTAATTCAGTGGGGGATGCAGTATTAATAAATGGTGATGTTAATAAAAAGAATAGAGTTATTATCTACTTTATCTAACTTTTTACAAGTCACTTTTAAAATTTTTACCAAAATTAAGAAGCTTAAAATTTATCAACCATGTCTGAAAATTAAAAATTAAGTTTTTAACTTTGTCATTATTAAACTTATCCTTTGAGAAGCCCAAAATAAAATTTGAACAATACTTAAACCAACAAACACTAGCAAAATGAAAAAGATATTAAGTATGAATGTGTGAGGTAAGTTTTTGTTTCTAAAAATTTGTATATTATTTAAAAATAAATTAACAGTATTTATAATTTATAGAAAAATTGTAGTTTTATCCAAAGTCAAAATCTGTAAAATTTACTCAATGATCATTGAACAGGATTATAAAGTCATATTTACCCCAATTTCACTTTCATAATATCTAGTATAGTGAACTCATATTTACTAGGGGAAAAGGTACAGCTGTAGGAATATAATTATTAGGATATAAAATCCAACAAGGAATTGCCAATTGAGAGTCACTCAACTCCAATGTGGACTGCCATCTTTGTTTGAAGACCTGTCCTGTTAAGTTAACATCACTTGACCACAATAGTGGAAAGTGAGGAATGCTCCCTTTAAAGAGATAACAACAAAATAAAATAGTCCATGAGCTAGCTTTGTTTTGATTTGAATCTCAAAGCGTGAGATCAAACAAGCACATACACATAATTTTGCTTCCATTTTGGCTGTTTTAGTGGGTATATGATATCAGCTAGCCACCTGACCTCCTAACAACTTCCACTTTCACTTCACAACCTTCATAGTGATTAGCGATCCCTCCTAGGTCCATGAACTTGCCCATCTTTATTACTCTTTCTCTCTCCAACTACTTCCTCTTAATTCTTGTCCCAACAATATTTAAATATATATCCATATTCACACACACACACACACACTCTTTAGATAATAAAATTAAAAGGCATACCATCATCATCTTAGCTCAAGACCCTTTGAATCTAGAATGAAATTTCTATATTGATGTATATGTCCCACTCCTATTTTTAATCCATCATCTCCCTTCTCTCTATTATTTTTCTAATGTGCTGTATGTATTTGATTTTATAAATATAAATTATTGATATTGCTTTAAACTGGTGTCCAGAGCTACTTCTTCTAGCTAGTCCTTCTTATAAAGCCTTGTTAACTACTCTCATGACATTAATAAAGTAAGTTAAAATTAGTTAAACATAAAAATTTATAACTTTTGAAAGTTATCCTTTAATTGGCATAATTCATTGGGGGAGAAAGGGGAGGATATAGTCAAGAGAAAAGGAAATGAGAGCATTTTTTTTTTAATGAGCCATAAATTTCATTAAACTTTATAAAAGGTCTCATATTAAGAACTAACATGTACACTTGGTTTTGATATAGAGAAAAATAGGAAGAAAAATTTTCAAAAATAGTAAAAAAATTTCTCTCAATTTTTCCTCATCCATATTTTTCTCTCATTTTTCCCCTTATCCAAACCAAGTCATAAGCTCTTCTAAATAGGATTGGAGGGAGTATTATTCATGCATTCGGGTGTGAGGAGGAAGACAAGAGGATGGTCAAAAGTGGGGCAAGAGAGAGAAGAGAGAGAGAGAGAGAGAGAGAGAGAGAGAGAGAGGGGCAGCAAAAGTGGGGTTTGAGAGAGGTTCATAAGATGTTATCATATACCTGAGAGAAGTTGGAGAACCTACAATGCCCATCCTCTTTTGAGCATGCTGTGGCCCATTCAAGCTGTCCTCTTCCCCTCCCAATTTTATGGATACAATGCATCTAATCCTCCTTCCCTTGTCACTAAAGAAAGACAACAATTATGTTATTATAGTCTTTCTTGTATATTTAATTATTCTCCTCCTCAATCATTCACTTAATGATGTGGCAACATCCATAAGATTTCATGACTTCCTTTCTTCAAGTTTGATTCCCTAGATTGTTCTTTCAATTGCATCTGCCTAGTTTTCTGTTTTTAATATTCCTTTTTTGTGCTAAAACCTCTTTTCACCTTCAAAAGAAAGTAGGGAAATAAATATAAGTAGCTGATCACACTTAATAGGATAAAGTTTCTTATTGTATTACACAAACATTTATATGATACAACTATTTGATACTGATATAAATTTGAGTATTGTTATGCCTAAATATGAATAATTCTTTCAACATGATTTTTTTCTTCAACCTCTTGTTTGAAAGGCATTGAATCCCATTTAATCAATCTGACTATTATCGCTAGAATATATATCCACATAGACAATGGGGATCTTCATACAACTTCTTGTCGCTTGGGTCCTACAAGACATGGACATCCTGGTTGATCCATTGGTGGCAGCAGATAGTTTGATTACATGTGAAAGAACTTGGGGAAACCGAGGCAATTACTTTACTTTGTATTTTTAGAATAGTTTTCCTGGTAGTTTTATTTACCAAAAATTATAGTTTTGGCAAACATACTTTCATTATTTCTATAGAAAAATTACATCTAAGTCTCACAAAAAGAAATTTATTATCAAAAAGTCTCATAAAATTTGCAAAATATTCTCAAATCCTATATATTTGTAATTTAATAAAGGATATTTACAACTTGTAAAGGAAGATGACAATTTATAATAACAAATAAATATCCCTTACTCAGTTATAAATGCCTTTTGTCAAGTTGTAAATGCACATAATTTGAGATTTAAGAATATTTTATAAATTTAATGAGACCTTTTGATAATAAATTCTTTTATATAGTTTTTCCTATTTTTATTGCATTTCTAGCAGAAGAAAGAGAAATGAATAATACATGCATAATCAATCTAGCATATATATTTTAGAATTCAGAATAGCAAGTGAAAAAGTAAACCTGATGAAAAAATAACCGATCTTAAAATAAATTCTCCTTAAAATGACTGCAAATTTTTTTAAAAAATCTCATTTTGTTAAACTTTATAATAAAGTGATGAATTTAATCAAATCTCCCAATTTTTTGTATGAAAGGCCTAATTATAAACTTTATTATAAAATTATAAATTATTATCGTGTACGTCAGAACTCATTTAACAGTTCAAGGAGTTTTATCTTAACACAATTGGTAAGCAAGTTAAATGTGATCTTTAAAATAGAAATATAAATTCATTTATTTTTAATTAGGTTGTGTTTGTTTCTTCGTTCAAAAGCTCCCAAAGGATGCAACGAGTATTTGCTTCTAATAAGTAATAACAAAAACTTTGGCATTCGTGTTAACATATATCCAAACACGCACTTATTTTGTTACGTAGTATCTGATCACATTATGATTATAGTCTTAGCTTTCTTAACAAGCCAAACTTGCACATTAACGATACATATATGTTTATCCACTTATTTGAAGGATTGCACACAAATACGTTAAAATCTAAGCTTTTATAAACTATTACATTTGAGAGGGACTTTACAAGCAAGAATGTCCACATTTACCTACAGCATGGTGTGGAAACAAATGGAAGCTTCAATTTGAAAAGAAAAGGACAAAATATGGAGCGTCCTCTTGATCCATTAATTTTCTTGGTCATGACATGAGACAGAATCACAGAAGTCCTCAAAACTGAAATAATCAGAGAGGCCAAGTTGGATGAAAGCAAGAGACCCCCCCACCGTATCCTTCTTCACCATTTCTTGAGGATAATCCTTTTGCCTTGAATGCCTTTGCTCTCTAACACAAAACCGAATCAGTAATTCATCAATACATGATTATATTCTGCTATTATATATCGTCAAATGGTAATACAAGTTAAAAACATTTCTTCTTAATTTTTCCCCTCAGCACCGGAATTCAAACCTGCATTGTTTCTATAGCATCTGTCTCTGAATTGAAATCATAGAAGGTACTTGCTGCAGTCAGCTTCATAGATAGAAACTGCAGGTATAACCAAACCTCAATTGATTAATGTATTTGATGTGAAATATATACTTTGTTTTTCAACTTTTTTGATCTCTTACCTCCACCTGATGCTGCAAGGACTGAACATAGTTTATAATCTCGTCTAACATCACTGCCATACCCATGGTCTGCAAATTTTTTACTCATAAATTTATATCACCGACAAAAACAAATTGAGCTTCTGGAGTGTGTGTGTGTGTGTGTTTCTTTTACCTTGTAACATCCTGGGACAATGGTCTGCAAACGTCTTATTTTTTCATTGATTTTCCCCCTTCTGACCTGAAAAAATATGTAACGATCTTTTATGACAACATGAATCAAACTTGAAATTCATCTCAGACTAAGAGGCTAGAAACGTACTTTTAAACTTGTTATAAAAAGAAAGAAACATATTTTTAAACTATTCTCGTTTTTCAGAATTATACCCTTTCTGCTAAACTGTGACTGTCCGTAGCTTGACCTCTTCTGGCTCTGACATGAACCACCTCCTTTGGTTTACCTTCTTCTGTTATGTTGCTCTTGGCTCTCTTAACTCTTCCAGAACTCTAAAACCATACCCAATAAATAACCCATTAGTTCATGTCTTGCTTACAAATAAAGTTATGAACTTTAACAAAAATCCAAAAAGAGAAAGAAAGATGAGAAGAACATTAACGAACACTAATGACCTTGCTTCCACTCTCAGAAACTGCAGGAGCCGGGTTTACAGAACTGGTCTCTGAAACATGATCAATGGCTTTCCTCTTTTCACTATCCTGGATTTCGTTTTCTGCTGGTAAAAAAGGGAAAGTTCCATCCAAGTTGGCTGGAAAATCAGGGTCTTGAGAGAAAGGAATGCCTGAACATTTAGATTAGGTTGTCCAGGACAAGTGGGCTCATCATGCCTGTGAAATGGTTCATAAGTTCCAAGCTTGGATCAATGTCTAAGAAAGGAAAGGAAGGTCTAAGGCTTTGAAAATCTGTTGTGAATTCAGCCATGTGACTTGAAGACGTATGGCAAAGTGTTTGTGAGATGCTTAGATGGCAGATGGTAATGGGAATGATGGCGGTATTTATATAGCAGGATTGAAGGTACATTTGATGAAAAGGAGAAGCATGGTGAGGTGGCAAGCTTCTGCACTTGTGTTCCCTGGTTGGGTCCCACACATAGTACAAAGGGAAATATCTCAAATAACAATATGGACTTCATGTTTTGGGAGAAAAAGCACTTATAATTTTTGGACTCTTCCAAACTCTGGGTCCCTTCTCTTGTTAAATCGGATCTAATATTTCTTTTTTTCACCGTGGGAATACATCTGGTTGAAGGAACAGCCTAGCTGGAAATTCTTCTAAATTACAATTAGACATTAATGCATCCTCTTCTCTTTTCCATGAAGTTGTGTCACTGATGTGTAACTGTAAGTGGGTATTTAGGATTGGAATCATATTCATTGTTTTTGGGATAAAGTTGCAAGTTAGTTAATTAGAAATTAGACAGAGGGTAGGGATATTAATCAAGTGAAGGGATTCACCAAGTCTCATACAAACTATGAGATAGAGATTATGTTGGTTGATAATTTATATAAACACTTTATAACCTTATGTTGGTAGGGTGAGTTATGAAACAAAAATGATTCTGCTCTCAAGAGAGATCGCTCCAGTGACAGAGAGGGGTTTTTTTTTGGGGGGGGGGGGACCAGACATCAAACTTTTTAAATGTTTGGTATGAACCTTAAACCAAAATGCAAGGTTTGGATTCAAACTAAACGAGATAAGATTTTTAGTAATCTAGTAGAATCCACCTAAATGGCCACTCATTATGGGCACCACTAAAAATCTTCAATTTACTAGGTTAGGTTCAAGTAATCCACCCTTTTGGGATTGTGAAAGATCATTAAGCAGCTAGTACAAAAGATAAAGAGAGCATCATTATGGATTAGTCTGGAAGTGCATAATGATTCTCAATATCATAGCGTCCAAATGAAATAATTGGAGGCATTTCTGCACAGACGCGTCGTACATGAACAGTTAATATTGTCGCAATGTTGAATATCACATGAACCATATCAAGGCCTACAGAAAAATTAAAAAGTTGAAACTGAGTTTGAAGAATAGGCATGAGTTGTTGATAGGGCTAGCAAGTTGAATGAATAAATTGGAGGTGTGTTTGAGAGGATTTCCAATGAGTACTGTTTGGCCACGCACTTTGACAAGAATTTGTTTGCTGAATTTGGATTTGATATGGACTGGAATTTGAGAAATGAATGCACCAAACTCACATGTGCACTGTGCGTTTGGCATATGACAGTTCATTCATTTTTCTTATAGGTCTTGATGCTAATTCTGACAATCTCAACTCTACAAGAGCCAAACACAAACTTACTCTCTTCTCTTTGTTTAAGACCCAAGAAAAATATATGGATGCAAGAGTGTCCTAGCAATACGTAGAGTTGATAATTTAATATGCAAATTAAGATAAAGAACTAAAAAATTATGAATAAAAATATTGTTCCACGTCTTTGAATAAAATAAATTTTGTTAGTTGGGGAATTGGTGAAAGAGACTTAATTCTTTTTTTTTTTATTTGACAATTTCAACATTTGTAGGCAAGGCTCAATCCACAATGCGAGCATCATAAGAATACCTAGGTGCTGACTGAAACAAAAGTTCTTGGCAACTTAATTTTATTTAAGCAAGGTTTTAAACATTGTAAATAGAAAAAAAAATCATGTTACAAGAGCTAGCTATCCTAAATTCCTAATTAGAATCTTGGCAAATTGTAATAAACAGGAAAAATGACGATAAAATATTCACCAAAATATATAAATGATAGTCAGATCTCTGAAAAAATGTCATAATTCTTTTAAATTTTAAATTCCTTTCTAACATTAATGATTTTAGGTTAAAAGACTAAATTATTTTTTGTTTAAAAAATAATCAGTTCATATGAAAAGTTATGATTCTTATTCAGTTCTTATGATTGACAGAATAAAAGTTGTGATTACTTAAATAAAAGTTATAACTTATTATATTTAGGATTTAGACTTTAATGACAAAAGAAATTTCACATGAAAAGTTATGACTTCTTGTTCAATTTTTACAATTTATAAAATAAAAGTTGTGATTGCATAAACAAAATTTATCATTAGTTATTTTCACAACTTGGAACTTCAATGACAAATAAAATTTTATATAAAAAATTGTGATTTTTTATTTAATTTTTGTAATTCACAGGATTAAAGTTGTTCATTTAAACAAGAGTTATAATTGGGATTGGTTATTTTTATAACTTGTTTTACTATCATAAAAGAAATTTGGAAGTTATTATTTTTTGTTCCATTTTTATAATTATAAAAAAAAATTGTAATTACCTAGACAAAAATTGTGATTGAAAAAATAGAGCCAAATTTTTATTTTTATTTTAAACAAAGAATAATTTAATCATTTAACCTAAAATTATTGATGTCAGAAAGATACTTAGGACTTCAAATGAATTATGATTTCAAGAGACATGCTTGTAATTTATATATTTTGATAGAATTTTATTATCATTTTTTTAATAAATATATTAGATAGTGTATTAAATAATCATTAAATAATAATATAAAAATATTACTAAATAAGCACAATTATAGTTTACGTTTTTCTTAAAACCTGGAATTTAAGAATGAAATTTTTTATTTTGATTGAAGACACCCTGATTATATTAAACCATTTTTTCTTAGATTTCCACATCCCACGGTATTGTTTACTACTTTACCGTAGGACTTATTTATCAAAATTTATAAAATTAGATGCATGTCATATTTTTAAAACTAAATCCGAAAATAAATTGTATTTTGATTGATAACTTATGAGTAAAGCAACTTTTGAAAAATTTCATAATATATTGTTGACGTATGTATGTTTAATTTTATTTTTTTTTTTAACGTGTAGCATGAAAATTGTCCCTCAAAATTCAAAAAAGTAGGCATGGGCTTGCATTGGGAAGTAGGATTGGCCTCCCTAGTGGTAGCCCTTCCCTAAAATGGCTATACTTTTCACTTCCTTAGGAGGCATATTATTAATGATGGCCCAACTAGAAATAAAACAGTTAATTTCGGGACAAACTTCAAAAATCACTGTTACCAAAATGTTTTTCAAAATAGCACTACTTTCACAAAACTAGCTACCTATATATCGTACATCCTAATTTTTGACAACTGAATTCTTCCACAACTTTTTCTGGTTTTGGGCACATACCCATTTTCTTGCATATTGTAAACGTGCACTCAGCGTCCATCCTCTTGCTTTTAACCTTTCGTTGACTATAATCATATGTCAAGTTAAAAATTATAAAATCATAAAACTATATATATATATATATATTGCCAAACAGAACAGTTTTATATTTGCTTAATGTAATAGTTTTATTTAAGAAGCTTATAATGAATACTTAAAAACTATATAATCTAATGAAATTGGTTTTTTTTATTTCTTTCCCACTAATAATTAAGCATTGGACTTTTTCTACCAATGTCCTATGAGAGCCCAGCCGAGACCTGTAACTAGGTTGGCAATAGCTTAAAGGTGACAATCTGAGGATTGAGAATGACTATAATTAATGGCGTATGAATAGTATGGCCACAAAACTTTCCTTTTACTTGCTAAACGAATGAGAGAAAGGAAATTGATTTTTTTTTTTTGCATATTTGCAACTATATAATGATAAGAAGCCAAAACAATACCATCATATGACCACATATAGACTATTTAAGTGGATACATTACATTGGAATATATTGCCTTCTAGTCTGAAATCTGAATGCGACACTTGTATTTATGCGACCTAACTTAATCCAAGTTAATTCAATACACATATTCAATTCCTTTTGAGGACTGGCTGGCATGCAATTTTTTTTTTTTGGGGGTTAAAGTATATATGACGCAATCCTACACAGTTGAATCTTGAAATTGTAATACATAAACCGGATATTTTTCATCAAATGCAGCTGAAAGTTGAAATTATATGTTAGTAGTAAAACCTCCCCCACCGGATTGTACATGATAATTGTACATCACCCACCAAACAAGAATGCTTTGTTTCATGCCAAAAAAAGAAAAAAGATTGATCTACATGATAAACATATTACTCATATCTTTAACACGGCAAGATCAACATGCATTTAATGTGAGGTTTTTATTGGCGAGCAATCTATAAATATATTTATGAGTGTTTTTTAAACTTGAAAGCATATCCTAGACTTGTTGGGTTGAGAGCCAATTTATTTAAATTTTTGTTTTTGCACACAGAATTTTGGGGGGAAAAAAACGGCGAACTCAAGAAATAATGACAAGCCTAATCCTGAAACTTTGCAAACTAACTGGGGCATATTTACTATTTGTAAAGAGATGAATTTTTTGAAAAAATAAATCACATTAATATTTGTAATTCATTAACACACACGTCAATGCAGGATTCGGACCCTCGACGAGGACGTAACAATTAACATTAGCAGTAAGCAACTAGTCATTGGCTATAAATGATCCCTTTTTTTGGCCAAAAATAAATCATCCATTTTGAGAATTCTTTTATTTCTTTCTTTTTTTTTATTTTCTAGGGAGATTAGGTCAACCAGGTCAACTGAGGTGATTTAAAAAAAAAGACATGGGAAGAATTTAAATTTTATATTACTACTCATATTCCATTTTTACGCAACATTGTAGGTTGCAAGTTATAGAATGTATTGTACAACACAAGTGACATTCGCTTGCACCAGTGATTGGGCTTGATGTTCAAACTAACGGGCCTAATCCATCTATTTTCTTTTCTGGGCCAAAACTTCATTAGCTACACACGCACACGCACACGCACACAGAGATCACAATTAGGGGTGAGCATCAGTCGGTTCGATTCGATTTAATTTTAAAATATGCAGAACCAATCGATCAAATAACATTAAAAATGAAAACTGAATCGAACTGAATAAGGATCGAACCGAAATTTGGCAATTCGGTTCGGTCGGTTAATTCAATTTTTTTGTTTC